TATACAACTTCTTCAACTTAGAGACGTCCACAGCTGAAAAAAGGTTGCTCAAGGACTTCCACAATGACCGATTCTGCGCTGCCCACATTCAGAGGTGGAATTGTGTAAAGCAATCGTAATCATTTGACAGTTCATAACGTACGATAAAGTCAGTTAAAAAAAGCGGTTGACAGAATAATCGTACGTTATGAATTGTCAAATGATTACGATTGCTTTACACAATTCCACCTAAGGTTCTATACACATTTTTTCAATTTCAACAGTATTTAAAAGAGTGTTTGTATTGATAAGGGCTAGAAAGATACAGATATATTATAGGAAAAATAGTAAGCATAAAACGGTAGATTTGGAACTTATCGTGCGATGCGACGCGTTATCTACACCAAATGATACGTATGTGCAGTTTCTAGGATGTATACTTAATACGTTGTTATGTTTGTAGGATCAAATAAAAGTGTCTTTAGTTACAATAGTTCATGTAATATCTAAGTTACGATATGACAATATCCTGATAATACTCGTACTACACAGTTCTAACATTTTGCAGACAATATTTCACAAGACCTACTGACAATTTGCAGTTTTTAAGCACACTTCTTTGCCACTTCTTTATCCGTGTCGGCGATAATAAACAAAAATTAGTACCTGTAATTTTTCAAACATCTTTCCTGTTGTACTTACACGTATTCAGACCTTTGTGCATCGCCGGCAGAGTATCGAGCAAGTCACTCGCTCCCAATCAGCGCGCGCCTTTGTTTCAGCCGACCGGCACCGGCGCAGGCCTCTACTCAGGATGCAGTTTACGTATTCTCGGGTCTATTTGTCACCGTCACTCTCGCCTCGCGTAAGAGGGATGGCATTTAGAAACTTTCGATAACGCTTTTCGGGATTACCCCGCAGTCGTATACGCAGGATGAAGTTTCAGTTAATTATCCCTATCTGTCTCTCTTAGTCATTCTAGCAGGACAAGTAGAGCGAAAGAGACGTCCCTAATCGAATATACGAGTGTCAAAATTGATTTACAAAGTAAAACCTGAAGAATATAGGCAACGATACAACTCACTTTACTGTAAGAATGTTAGCTCACTTGTATTTACAGTAAAGTAAATAAATAAACGAAGGCGTAGTATGTAAAGTCAGCTTTTACAAAACTGTTTTCAAAGCAGCTTCCGGCCAGTTTAGCACAGTGTATAAAAATGTTAAATAACGTAGTTCCACAGATAAATGAAGAAATATTGTCTATTAAAGTCTAGATAATATAAAATAATGTAAAGTGTCTTCTTAAGTTATTGATTTAACATTGCTCGTGTAAGAAACTTTGAAATCTTAGAAAGAAGGTAAGTGTAATCTATATTTTTTGGAATTTCTAAAGCTTTACTAACTTAAATTGGAACAATATTTAATAGAATAATGTACAAGAATAAGAAGGATATGGAGTATTGTTAGGTTTCAAGCTTTAGTAAAGATGGAGTTTTAAACTTTTCTGATTGGTTAACTTTTGTACAGCCAACAGCACGTTGGACTGGGTCCGTGGCCGAGTCCCCCTGTGTTCGACGCACCCGTGGTCGACGCCCCCGGTCAGATAGAAGCAATTTTTAATCAAATGTACAGTCAGTAACAAAAATATTTATAAACGAATAAATATTTATACTGATCGTACAAATAAATGTTTAATATTATTTTACCATAGTGATACCTAAAAATATAATAGGTTTTATTTTAACCTATCATATTTTATCATAGGTTTTATTTACCTATAATATATATATATACATGTAAATCGTTTTACCTAATCAAAATAATTGTAACAATCAGTCTTTAAAATAACTCTACTCTCTCTACATTTAACTTACTACAAATAAAAGTTTTAATCATAAAAGTTTTAATCATAAAAGTTTTAAGTATTTTTAACAAAAAAATAAATACATCATTTTAAATAGCATCAAACATGCATGGTTTTCGTTGACTGTACTTAGTGCAAAAGCCGAAAAAAATATGATATTAAATTTATTTAAATCGGGGGCTTCAACCACGGGTGCGTTGAATACTGGGGGACTCGGCCACGGACCCATCGGGCTTTACATATTTGTTACAAAATCGCTCCTATGTTCATCTACACAAGATGCCTCATTCTTTAGGTTGTTTAGTCGACTGTACGTATTGTTGTGTGATTGAATAGTTCTATAAGAGTAAGGAACCATGAAGATTTCCAATTACCAATAGGGAGGCGTTTAATAAATTTACCAATCCCAATAAAAATGAAACCCCATTATGGCATAGAAAAACTGTTTATTGGAGCCATGTTTTCGTGTTCAGCCAGAGAAACGTACATAAGGTACCTATATGTATTGGTGTATCTTTAATTTCATTACCGAAATGAAACCAGACAAAAGATTATTAAATTAAATGGATTTCGTGTACCTCCTACAAACAGAAATGAGCTTGAAATTAATGAGGGAGAATGATTTGCGAAATACCGCAATGACGTGGGGTTTTACTTGGTTATGTTATTACCGCGCCTACAACAAAGTTTCATTAGCAAGGAACTTTGGGACAGTGAGTAATTTGACAGTGATTCTATTATTTTTGGTTGCATTTGTTTTTGTTTGTTCCTTCTTGCCACATTTTTTCAATAGTCCGGAGTTTCGGAGTCAGAAACGACGTGTAATATTTATTTGACACTCGCTGTTTATGTGGCAATCCTTGGGGAGGCCTTTGTCCAGATTTCCAATCTAAATATATTTAACTCAAAGGTGACTGACTAACTGACTGACAGACTGACTGACTGACTGACATAGTGATCTATCAACGCACAGCCCAAACCACAGGATGGATCGGGCTGAAATTTGGCATGCAGGTAGATGTTATGACGTAGGCATCCGCTAAGAAAGAATTTTAGGAAATTCCACCCCTAAAGGGGTAAAACGGGATCTACGCGTACGAAGTCGCGGGCGGCCGCTAGTCTAAACAATATTTGTTAAATATCATTATAAAGTAGGAGGGATAACAACTTCACCGATTAGGATAAAAAAAAACAATAAAATAAACTTAAACTTGCGTGCGTTTTTAAATGACCAATTTCACTTGTTTGTTATTATTTATTGCAAGTTTTCTCGTGTGATTTGTCTAGAATGAGACAAGACCGACAAATCTCNACAAACAATACCATCCATTAAAGGCTCCAGACATCAGTATGCAGCAGAATCAGCGCAATAAAAAAATAGCGCAATATTTTGTTGCAATTTCTTACAAAACTTGCGCGCAAAAAGCAAATCTAGTATGAAAATAATTAAACTTCTAATGCTCGTAACTCAGTTCAGACTGAGTTTAGAGGTATACATGCCATAGTAAGTTTGGTTTAAAACACTATTTTGAAATCAAAAAACAAAGTTTGGTCGATGGCCGCGCGAAAAAAAAAAAGACGCCACCTTCCATACAAAATCTGGCATTGCCATTTCAGCCTGATCCGTCCAGTGGATTGGGCTGTGCGTTGATAGATCACTATGTTATTCAGTTAGTCAGTCTGTCAGTCAGTCAGTCAGAGTCAGTCAGTCAGAGTCAGTCAGTCAGAGTCAGTCTGTCAGTCAGTCAGTCAGTCAGTCACCTTTTAGTTATACACCACTACATTTTTATCACCGAATTTTTTTTAACAGGTTATGTAGATATGTGTGAAAAATTTAAAGTAAAAAAAACATGCTATTTCATAAAGTTAATTTTTTTATTAAATTTTCTTTAGTCCGTATTTTACGCGTCACAGCTGGGGCACTCCGCTGCTCGCTAGAGTAGTCGTACGCGCTCGCACATTGCCCCGATCTGTCTGTCTCGCTCACGCCTCGACCACGCTTCCAGTGGTAAGTGCCATAGATTACCAATTTTGGGATGAAATTTTGAGTAACTTTATTTAACTTTTTTTTTGCATAAATAGGATTAGTAACAATAACTCACTACCCAGAATTATTTTTTTTCGGTGATAAAAAATTTTGTGGTGTATAATATTCAGATTTAATTAGAATTTAATATTATGCTTACTTACTTACTCTAGACTTGTAACTGACATTAAAAATCGTTTTCATTTCAGTAAGAAAATGCAAGTTCGACAATGGAAAGGAGGGCTACTGCGTTAATCCAAACAGTTGTAGGAACAGAAAAATTATGGGAAGGTAAGCGCCACAAAATACATGCTAAAGAGACTTTAACAAGCTCACACCCGATATAGAGGAGGTGCCTGACATCTACAGCCTTAACCTAAACAAATTCAAAAAAGCTGTTAATGAATTGTTTCTTAAATAATTCCTCTCTCATCTTTATTTCTTAGAGAATTATTGATTTAAATTTCATTATATTTATTAATAACTTGTTTCCATTATTAATTAACATTAAATAATTATTTTTATAATTTATGTATTATGTATAATTATTGTTAACTCGAATAGCATTGTATGTTGTGTGCACTTTTTATTGGAGCTGCAACAAGTTTTACTGTATAGCCTGCTTTAAAAGCTTTGTATGTTATGGTTGTATCCCTGTTTTGTGCACCAAATAAAATAAATAAAATAAAAATAAAATAAAGTCCGGTCGCCGAGCAGATAGAATTTCGTCCACTGACCCCAAGCTACCCATCCTTATCGCTCGCGTGTATTTTTTTTACAATCCGATCGAGCTAGCTGCGCACTCGCAATGTGACTCTCCCTCGCACTCACCCGCACACCTCCCCGCGTTCGCCCCGTCCGTACCAGNGCCTACTATTTGGATTCGACTGTAATTTTTGAGGTATAATACATTATCGTAGCATAAATATTTACGAAGATACAGATGTGTCAGCTGGAGACACGTGTCCCCAGCTTACACATAGAAAACAACTCATAGTTATGAAGTTCTAATGGCTCTAATTGAATGACTGAGAGGTTTGATGACTCTAATTAGGCTTTTATTGATGGTATACTTGGAATTGCTCTAGGGCCAATGAGGAAGTTGGAGACATTCAGGTTTTTGAGAAGTAGTATTTTAATCTATGTTCTGTGAATGACAAGTGTTATCTGTCAAGTGTCAAAAAACTTGAAAAACTTTTACGAAGTTTTTGAATTATGTTAAATTTGTTTATAAACACAAGTAAGTATAGATTATTACACTAAATTAAGGCATTCTATCAAAAATGAAAACAACCCAAGTTTCAATAACTACTCCTGTAACTTTGGTTTCTTCATATCAAATAATCAAAATCAAAATCAAAATTATCTTTATTTTTTTAGACTAATTAAATTAGTTCTTGCAAATCGTCAAATGCTCTTAAGGAGCCTATACATGTCTCATTCTTTTTTTGCCCTACCAGCGCTTCGAGACAAACATTTGGCAAGTGCTGAGAAGAAGCGCCGCAACTCAGTCACCACTGTCTGCCGGTTTAAAAATAAAAAAGTAGGAAGTTACATACATTCAGAAGCAAGTTACTTACCACGCGCTCCCGTTGATAGAAGGTGGCCTTTAAGACGCCCATCTAGCACGAGACCGCGTGGCAGTTTTGAATAAATTTCTTTAGTGCCGTGCTAATTTCTAGGTTAATTGTTGTTAATCAATTTCATTTTCAGTGCCAAAGGCAAGAATAATTGCCCACGCCAGATGGAGACCCAGCTAAATAATGTAGTAACAGCGCGTGGTCGTGTGATGAGGGTTCCTTGACTTGAGTTCTGGCGCAACACGTCCTGGGTACTAAACAAGATTGGGGATGGGACGTCTAAAGAGGTGCAGGCCTGGAAAACGGTAAGGCCTATTTTATTGACATTAACCAATAAACTGTTCAACATACTTACACAAAATAACATTATTATGACTCTTATAATGCGAACAGCTAGGGACTGGAATTTGTTGCCTGCTGCTGTCTTTCCCGAAGACTATAATCCGGGTGTTTACAAGGCGAGAGTGAATAGGCACTTACAGCGCAGATATGTACCATCCTAGACTGCATCCCACTTAATACTTGGTGCGATTGTGGTCAAATACCTGCCTCGTTATGCATAAAAAAAACAGTGACTAAGATTTATCACAATTTTTCAGCCACATTCTAGCTAGCAGCTAACATGTTTTTTTTGTTTCTCATTGCAGCTCTCGTCTTGCTCTACAGCACTTGCACTTGTCCCACCATCTACCAGTGTTGGAACTCTTCCAATAATTACCCACACCCAGGTGGAGAATACTCCAGTTGCTGCTACTGCTACTCTTAAATATGTATGTTAAATAATGGAATATGATAATGTATGTTTATATTATTATTATGTATGAACAGTATGATTTACGTTGCACAAATAATGAAGGTATTTTTAGTAGCTTTTGCCAGCGGCTTCACCCGCTTAAAATTTAGTTTGTCACAGATTGTCATAAATTATAGACTGTATAGATTGATAGCTCATAAAATGTTATCATTTCATAAAGGATTCTTTGAATTATTTTATTACATGCCGTGAGTAATGTTTGTGTTTATCATCTAGGTACATCTTTTAATTACATTATCTATAAGATTTAGATACAAGCGCAATCTTTTTTTGCAAATAATGTTAATCTAGTGTATTAAACTTGAAACTTATATAAATGTAACTGTCGATTAAATTGCAAGCCGTTAAAGTTAAATTTTAAGTCGTTTCGCTTTTAGATATTCAATAAACATCAGATGATTTATATTGCCTTCGCCATAATTGCCAGTCATCATGAAAACGCTTAATCGGGTTCAAGGAAAGAGAAGATAACAATATTTTGTAATACAGATAACGTCAGTTCTGCGCCATACTATTTTGAAGGTATCTTTATGCACGTATGTATCTAAATTACGTATTGGGGAATATCTATGGCCTGCGATAAATGATAATAAAATGTATTTACCAATAACACCGCGGCCGTGGCAGCCTTTAATTAAGACAGCACTTAGTTTTAAGCACTTTAAGTTATAGTAATTTCATGTATGCGTGTTTGTCTTGTTGGTTGTCCTAATAAATAAAATAAATAAATAAACACAAGTTAACAGGACTCACTCAACATACTCCAGTATTGTACAAAAGTATTCTTGAATGGAAAGTATCAAGGGCATTACTTCGGTGTCAACAAAGAATTTAGTTTGTTTGTATGACATGACATTCAATTTTATTTGATATTTTATTAAGTTTAAAAGTTCAAACCAATAATTAATTGTGCAAGGAATGTGTATTTAAAGATAAGATATTTTTATTTATCAGAACATGTGTGACAATATTGCAATACAGAAATATATTGTTGGTGTTATTAATTTTTGCTCCGTCAGTTTAAACACTGATATCGTCGCACAAGTAGGTTAGAAACAAAACTCACCCAATTTAGAACTGCATTGTAGACTTCTCTTTCTTCTCTAACGTTTAATTCGTCTTTCCGTATGAGTGCTATAAGTTCTTGTAATGTCAGTTGCAGAAATTCTTCTTCTTGACAAATCTGTGAAAAACAATTAATATGAATACTCGTAATCTCCCAATTTATCTAATATTTATCGAAAGCATCTTTATCATTTACGTATTATATCGTTAATTCGGTCAACATCAACTTATGATAAGCAAAATGATTCAAGTAAGGCACGGTTTCTGGATTTAGGTATTTTCATTTTACATTTTGCCACGTTGAAAATGAGTCGTCACCATAGATTTATCAATGTTACATTACCTTTATCAAGTCGAGCCCTTGATAAGGTATTTTGTTTCGTGACTGACGACATTGCAATAGGTATTTTTGACAAATGATTAAATATTTTGATTAACAAATACTTTTGAGTCCGCAGTAAACTTCTAAATATACCATTCAAGTTTTATTTAAATAAAAAAACGCTATGTGACCGCCGAATAAATAGCATTTGAAGAAAACAACATGACTTGCAATTTTCAAATCTGTTTTTCAGCTTTAGGAGCCGCTATTAGACGTCTGATATTGGCCAATCGGCGGCAACGATGAATATACATTTTACAGGCGTGAAATTGTAATTTTATGTAAACCCACTCGAACGATCGACAACTTGGTGGCGTGGTTGGAAACATTTGTTGATTTCCTATATGAGCCTTTATAAACCGACGACCTGACGAATGTTGTGGGCAGCGCAGAACTAGTCGTTGTATATGTCAACGCGAAATTGTGAACTCGGTCAGTTTATAATATAACGCGTGAGATTGTAAACTAACAGTGGGTTAGGTTAGGTTAGATTGTAATTTAACTACGGTAGATTATAATCTGACGGAATTCACAATATTACGGTGACATATACATTCTTCCAGGAAGCCTTTGTTCAGCTTAGAAGGGTCAGAGACGGGCTTCATCATCATTAAGTCATTCAGTCTCTACTACAGTATGACCCTCTCTAACTTTCTAACTTTCCAGAATCTAATTGAAGATTTGGCCCACACTCCCAACACTGGCCAGACAGATTAAGGAGGGATGTTCGGATCGGGGAAGAATGAGGCTGGTCCTATTATACAGTGTGTCCGGGCATGTAGTGATCAAACTTTAAAGGCGTAATCTATGAACAATTTTATCGATGAAAATACTTCAAATTTGGGGCTTGACCCATTTCTCGAAAAATAACATCGATTTAAATTTTCAATTTTTAGTTTACACCTCTTCTTTAAAAAACAAGTGAAAGCGTGGGTAGCTTAACATTAATAGGCAAATATTTTATATCATGCGATAGCCAATAAAATTATCTATTAGTAGAAGAAGAAAACAGACACAAATTTCATACATTTTATGGGAGTAAGAATGGATTGAATTAGAAAAATACATTACTTTTTTCACTTCTTTTTCAGTTATTTTCCAACACAAGAAAAACCAGGTCGTTAAGGTATGTTTTATTTGCATTGTATTATTAGTATTTGAGCTATTCTACAAAACGAATGTAAATTTATTAGTCTACGTCTATTAGTTTCCAGAAATGTGTAAAACCTAAATTCTTACTTTTTCCGTTTTTTCCTAAACATCGCTCATTTCACCCCGATGTTTAGTCTACCCCCGGGAGGTGTTACAGATAGCCCTCGCACCCTATATTGCTTACTTGACATTCCGCCTTTTGCCGACTCATCCTTTTCCATCCATAGCCTGCGATACCTCGCATTTCCAAGTCAGTCTCATTCCACCATCCGAACTAGACGGCTGTCTTATCCTATTAATCTCGTGTTCTTTTTTAAAAACCCAAATCCTCTGAGGCTCATAACAGTACTATGTGCCCTGCCTACTGCCACTTCAGCTTGCTAACGCGTCGGGCTGTCAGCGACTTTAGTTCGTTTACGGATCTCCTCATTTCTGCTTCAGAGGATTTCAAGAGGATGGCTTCTTTTAACTCCAGGGATAGATTTTAGTGTGCTTCGGTTTACACATTAGTATTGGCCTGAGGAACAAAATGCACTATGGGTTGATTCTGGGCAGCACCAGACCACCAACCAAGCCCTGGTACTACACTTTAGTTAGTTTGGTTGCTAATAAAAATTTTAAACTTGTAGAAAATTGCATCATAATATTGTGAAATAACATGTTTTATTCATTTTTACAGGTGTTTATTTAACTGCTAAAACGTGACTTAAACTTCAGCCAACATATCAAACTATAATCTTAACCCTTAAGTAACACCGTGGGGTAATTTTTTATCCCCGGGCGCATAAAAATTGACATATCTTTTTTTCTACGGAAGCTAGTGCAATGTCGTTTTGTGTATTCTCAATGCAGAGTGTGCGCTTTAAGGTCGTAGACGCGGGATGTGAAAAAAATCATCTGTTTGGCTTGTACAGGTAGGTGGGGTGGAAAATTACCCCAGGGTGTTAGTTACGCATGCTTTAATTTATCATCACCTAAGATCTTATTAATAGGTTTTTACAATATTTAAACACAATGAGTAAAAATTTATATGACGGTTAGATAGCACGTTGTCTCGAGAATGCAGAAAAATAAATAGAGCTTGATTTACATGATACTTTTCGAACTTTGAAGACATCCCCTCAGAACACAGCGTTCATAAATTCGACACAGAAATAGAGCCCAAAAGTGATAATTATGTAATAATTCAGCGTGTCTGATGTGTTTTGAAAAAAATAATTAGGAATAATATAAATAAAAAAATATATTTTCATAATTTTATAAAAAAAAAGATTTTTTTATTTTGCTTTATTTAAAACCCACAAATTTTCGTTTTATTTCATTATGTGTTTAAAATATGTATAAAACATCTATTCAATGTCCGATTAGTGTAAATTTTTGGTTCCCACATTAACTTTCCAAGATTTTTCTAGAAGATCATTGTGGAGACTATTAGTTGCCAATGAAAAAATCTTTGTTTTTTGTTATGATTGATTTAAGATGTTTGTTTCTTTACGCTAGATAGACGTTCGCTTAAAACTATAGTATAATTTAGTGATTCCATTAATACACTGTAAATCACTAATTAAATTAATTTTAAATATTTACTTAAAAAATTTCAATTTCCCTTTGGGTTTTTTTTTACCCCAGGGTGTTCTAAGTGTAACCAAAAATAAGGATGTTACTTAAGGGTTAAACTGGGTTGCACCATCTTACTTTAACTTTAACAAACGTCAAAAGTTTGTCAAACTTCATACAAAAACACCGGTTATAGTTAAAGTCAAGGTTAAAAAAAATTATTATAAAAAAATATTTTTTTTTAAAACAAGCTTTATTCTGAAATGTAGTTGTACTAAAACGAAAAAAATAATTGCATGCAAGGTTCAAATAATTTCGATAGCTTGTATCGCGCATGGAATTTATTCCTCTTTTTTCTGTTTGCGTTTCGTTTTAGTACAATTACATTAATTTCAGAATAATGCTTGTTTTTAAAAAAAATTTTTTTTTATTATAATTTTTTTTTTTATTATTTTACACTTTTTGGTCCCTGGTCATCATTTAGCACCATTGTGCTCGGGAAGACGAATACAACGAACCCAAACTCGATAAGTTTCCGCCGTTTCGTTTAGGAGTTCCTATGACCACCTGCTGACTCCATTATCAGGACCCTGGCCATCATCTAGCACTAAAGTGCTTGAAAAGACAAATCCAACGAACCCAAATCAGACCAGCTCAATGGTACCATAACATTGCATTGTCATCGTACTTACATAAGTACACCAAATTAAATTTCAGCTCAATCGGTTGAGAGGAGAACTGATCTTAAATTCAGTTGCAAGATTTGTCCCACACATACTAACAAGTGAAGTCAATATAAAGCTTGCAAAATAATAATAAAGCTTGTAATA